CCAGGAAGGCTGTGGATTTGGGAACTTTGAAGAGATTGGTCCTTTAGACAAAGAAATGAAGCCAAGAAATACAACCTGGGTACAGCAGAGAGTTCAGCTTCTAGCTACTGATTGCAAATGTTTGTTGTTTGTCTAAGCAGATTATCTCTATGCAAAAATGCACAGAATGGTTTTCGTTTAAAGCTCAGTAGAACTATAATATTTCAAGGCTGTGGATTTGGGAACTTTGAAGAGATTGGTCCTTTAGACAAAGAAATGAAGCCAAGAAATACAACCTGGGTACAGCAGAGAGTTCAGCTTCTAGCTACTGATTGCAAATGTTTGTTGTTTGTCTAAGCAGATTATCTCTATGCAAAAATGCACAGAATGGTTTTCGTTTAAAGCTCAGTAGAACTATAATATTTCAACTTAAAACAGTGTGGTCAATAAATTGGCTAATAGGAATAACCTCGTTTGGAACTGAAGGAGATGCCTATTACTTTGATTTGATGGAGTATGTCTGGGCTTCTGTGACTTTGTGAAATGCAGATATCTGGGAAATGGAGAGCAGGGGAATTGTAGAAAGTGTTACTTCAGACCACAACTTCCCTGTGTGCAGCCTCAGAGGTTATTCTGGATGTCTGGGAGTGTAAAACCTATGGTTTGTAATTACAAGGCCAGTATGGCCTTCGGGGAAAACAGTGACAGCTGCCTGTGAAGGTGGAAGTTTACTGAATGAAATGCATTGGTGCTCTGAGCTACCCACAGCCCAAAGCACTCCCGAGCTCCTGGCTCCTACGGGTGACTGCCCTGGAGCACTGGGGGGTTTGGGTGCATTTCATGTTGCAGACTGAGCAGATTGTTGTACCTCTGTATTTGTGAGCCTTGCTGCTTTGAGCTGCCTGTGCTCATCTGGTGCTTTTATGTGTACACTTGTAACTAGACAACAATAGCATTTGCTGCAGCAATCTCTCTAAAGCTCAGCAACCCAAAAGAACCCTTCCTTTAGAAGAAAATCTTTTTCTTTAGTTTACATTCCAATAGTCAGCTCTCACCCATACCATTCTCTCATTTGGACTTTCACCTAATTTTTCTGCAAGTTCTTTCAGTGCCAGAGGTTTGCTGGCTCAGTTAATCATTTTTACTATTAAAACTAAGGTTTTTTGCTGGTGCAGAACTGAGATTCCATACAAACCTTCTTTCTGTTTGTACAGTTGCAGGCAGCCAGTATCTTGTTTGTGGATAATCCTGTGGGCACTGGATTTAGTTATGTGGATGATTGTAGCTTGTTTGCCAAAAACCTTTCTGCGGTAGTTTCTGATATGATGGTTTTCCTCAGGGAATTCTTCACATGCAGAACAGAGTTCCAGGTAAGTGAACTGAATTCTTGGTTAGCTTTGCTTTTTTCTCTGCTTTTAAATGGAGCTTAAAAAGAATTGGTGAATGTATTTCCAAATGGGCAGTGTTTGCTGCAAGGCTGGGGCTCAGTGTGGATATAATCACTGCCTGTTATTTCCTAGGATTCAGAAGTTGTGTTGAATTGGGAGCTATTCAGATAAGCATTGGGGTGGGTTTTTGTGTCGTGCAATACGAGAAGCACATGGGATCAGTGGTGGTCATAGTTCCAAAACTGAAGTGCTTGCTTCAAAACTTCAAAAAATGGCAATCTTTACTGCAGCTTAGAATAAGGAAAATATTGTGTGGGAGGTGAACAGCCACTGCCTGGACTTGGGGGGTGTGGGAGATGGTTGGAGCTGTCTCCTGCTCTCTGCCCAACATGTTCCTTGTGTGTCTTCTCTCTCCCTCTCTCTCAAGACCATCCCATTCTACATCTTTTCTGAGTCTTATGGAGGGAAAATGGCTGCTGGCATTGCTCTAGAGCTGCATGAGGTGAGTGGTGGGAGGACGTAGTTTGCTGTTCACTTGAAAACATGGTGTTCCTCGAGTACTTACATGTTCTGGAATGCACTGTCCCTGCTGCGTAATTCACAATGCTGCTTGGTTTCTCCTCACTTAAGGAAAACTGGTTCTAGAGTCATGGATATCTAACTAAAAGCTGATTTTCTGTTTGTTTTTCCTCTTATCTACCAAGGCTGTTCAAAAAGGGACCATAAAGTGCAATTTTAGGGGGACTGCCCTCGGGGACTCATGGATTTCTCCATTGGGTACGTTTAGAATCCTCAGACTGTGGATTTTATGTTGATATGGTTTTGTTTTGTTGGTTCTTTTAGTCGTTCATGAGTACCTAAAGCGAAAAATGCCATCCCTGCCTTAAGTGAACTAAACCTCTAGTGAGTCTAGTAAGTCAAAAAGAAATACTCAGCACTGCAAGCTGTGAGTGAAGAATCTGCCTTTAGAATAGGTGTAGGTTCTGAAAAGTCAGAGCAGGGGCAGTGAGGAGCACACTTGCATTGGAAATGGAGATGGGATGAAATGTCCCTATACACTTCCACAGCCTCTGAGGTGTTTTGGGAAGAGTCCTGCACCTAAATGTGGCCAACAAATGATTCTCAAGGTTACAAGTGAGAGTTGTCTAGTGGAGGAGAAAAAGCAAATGAAAGGGCTCTTGGTCCATGGTGAGATTTGCAAGGTCAGGCTGCACAGGGTTACAAGTGAGAGTTGTGTCTAGTGGAGGAGAAAAAGCAAATGAAAGGGCTCTTGGTCCATGGTGAGATTTGCAAGGTCAGGCTGCACAGACTCTGCAGCATGGGACAACATCAGGCAAACTCTTGCCTGTCTCCTATTAGCTGATCCTTGAGACCTGATAAACAAACTGTTATAAAACAGATTTGGTTTATAACTAAATTCTCTTCCTTGTAATTTTTGCAAACAGATCAGTTTAGATAAGTCTCATCCACTTGTTAGACCTCTCCCCATGGTCTAGCCATGTGCTGCAGTGTTGGGGGGAGAACTTTTTAGTAAGAACATGTGAGTTGCTTTAAATAAATTTCACTGATTAATGCTTGGGGGTTAATGACGTTGTAGGATTTGTGAAGAACCTGCTCAGTGGCACATAACCTTTGGGCCAAACTGAGTTGACAGCACCTTTTTACTGATTAATTCATCTCCATAAATTTTTGTCACAGTCATTGTTGCCACAGTAAAGGAAAAGCAAAGTAAATCAAATGTCAAAAACTTCAGTGTTTGAAGTCTGTTCTGTTTCCCTAGACTCTGTGTTGTCCTGGGGGCCCTACCTCTACAGCACTGTAAGTACCCTCTGAAACTCTTGGTCCTCACCTGGTCACTTGTGCTGCCATACAGTGTAAATGGATGATGAGTTTTAAGATTACCTCTTGGCCAAAATAAAACCTGGAAAGCATAAAGCTGTTAGCAAGAAATGAGTGTGGACCGACCATTAAAGCTGTCCTCCTCCTCTCTTTTCCAGTCTCTCCTCGATGATAATGGTCTAGCAGAGGTAACTGCTGTTGCCAAAGAAATAATGGATGCAATAAATAAAAACCAATACGGACTGGCCACTGAGCTCTGGGGCAAGGCTGAAGGTGTCATTGAAGAGGTGAGATCTTTGACAACATTGGTAACTAACTGATGCCTGGGGAGACACAGGATTTCAGGTTATCCTTGGCATGAATTCTTCAGCCCCCTGCCCAGTCATTTTTGCCAGTCTTTGTTTAATCCCAGTGCTGATGTTGAAGGAGCTGTTTGTTTGCTGTGCACCACTGTGTGACTAAGAGGCAGTGGGTAGGGCAACCCAAAGTCTTTCTTCCTTGTGTTTTTGTTTTAGTATGAGTAAAGCTCTGGCTTCCTCAAACAGAAGGGCTTGTCTGGAGCAGCTTCCTTTGCTTGCTCTCTTTTTGGGTTTGGTTGTTGCTGTTTTGTAGCTGACAGTGTCTTGCACATAGTTGGTTTCACTTCTTACTGATTGGAAGGAACTTGTGATTCTCATTTTGCCTCTCTCTTCAAGTCTGCTTGGCTTCTCCCCATTGTGGTGGCACTGGCAGGTGCAGGCACTGAAATTCTTCTGGGGTTGCTGTTCTGAGCTGATTTCTGACCTATGCATCAGAACTTCAAAAATTCAAGAACTGAGTAAAGCAGGACCTCAAGAATCTCGAGGAACTTCTGCAATGGCAAACACTGCTCACACTTGTCCTCTGCTGGCAATTCCTGGGCACATCAGGTGTCAGCAGTTCCAAAAGAATACCTATCACAATTCTTGAGGAAGCATTTTAGATTCTGGAGGGTCATAGGTTGAAAAGGTGTTGAGCAAGAGGCAGCACCAGGCTAGACTAGATCTAGCAGCAGAGACCATCTGAAAGCGTCGTCTGGCACTGCAGCTCTCATGAGTAACGAAACCCACAGCCATTTGCAGGGTGTAAAGCTTCCTGTAGCTTCACTTCTGCTTCAGAGAAGTAAATAGCATCTCTGGCACAACCCACGTGGGAACAATTCAGGCTTGAGGAATCTCTTCCCCACTTCTGAAAGCAAGCATAGAACCAAAGTTCTTCCATAAGTGTCTTCATGAAGTGCTAGTAAAGTGGCAGGTCACAGGGTTTACTTAGCTCTCTTCTTTTTTTTTTTTTCCAGAAGAGCCTGTTCTTCATATCTGAGAAATGTTTTTATTAGTGTTACTGAATGTATCTTGTGTTTTCAGAATACAGACAATGTGAATTTTTATAATATCATGACTAAGGACGTTCCAGAAATGAAATCGGATGAACAAGAAAATCTCCATCTCAGTGAGTTGTATTTAAATGCTTGAGCTTCTGAGGCCTTATGTTTGCATCCACATACCTTCAGCTCTGATAGTGGAAACAGCCTCAATCTAGCACATCCTTAAAACTGGTGTTGATATTCTCCTGAGCAGAGCTTGTTTGCTCTTGCATAAATAGGAACAGGCAGGAATGTGGAACAACCCTATAGATTACACCTCCACCTATACATCCTGCACAAATTGCAGCAAGGAAGTAGTCAGTATAATTGCAGCATAGTTTTATGACCTTTAAGTTGCTTCCTCTTATTGTCTTTCATTTCTGCCTCCAAGCTGGGACATGAAAATGTCTCATCAGTGTGATTAGGCTCTTTTGCTCCATGATGTTTGTGCATCAATGTGAAAAACACACGTGTAGAGCTTCTTTCAAGCTCTTTATCTCTTTCTGTTGGCTTCAGCAGGGCAAGTGAAGTTAACTTCCAAAAGTAAAACATTGCCTCTCAAAAATAACTGGTCTGTTGCAAATAAATCATGTCTGTACCAAGTGGCTAAAGCAGAAGCTGAGCCCCAGAAAAAATGCTGTGTTAGCTGAAAGTAGAAATGAATGGTTGTGTTCCTCCCATGTCATCCCCTGACCTCAGTAAGGGTTGGCTGAAGTGGTTTCTGGTAGAAGTAAGCACAGCTCTGTGGTGGTGCACTGTGGCTAGCAGAGGGTTGCTGGCCGTGGCTGTGGTGCTGATCAGAGTGTGCTCTCTCGTTCCCAGTGCGTCTCTACCAGCGCCACGTGGGAGACATGCACCGGGGCAGCCTGGCTGAGCTGATGAACGGCCCCGTGCGGCAGAAGCTCAAGATTGTTCCTGACTGTGTGACGTGGGGAGGTACTTCTTGCCTCCTGGTGTGCACCTCCAGCCCATTGTGCTGTTGCAATATTGCAGCCTGCAGGGAGTGACCAAGTGGTTCGGTTGTCCCTGTCCTTGGGGCCCAGGGGAGGACTTGCTCTCAGGGATGAAGATGTCATGGGGCAGGCCTGTGGGAGCAGATGTGTTTCTGGCTCCAATTCTGCTGCTTGTTGCTGTCTTTAGCCAAGCAACTGAAAATACAGAGGGAGGAAGAAAAACAGAAAGGAAAGCTTAAAGGACTGGTGCCAGCACCCTATGTTAAACAGGAGCCAGAAGCTGCAGAGCTGTCTGTGAGCTCCAGTGGGAGCACAGCTGCTTTCTGGTCCTATCTCAGACTGATAAATTACTGGATGCTGCTTTGAGCTAGGACTGGGTTTTATGCTGCTGTGAACTACATTTTAGAACCTTTAGCCCATGTTTCTGTCCCAGCTTGGGGATGGCATCCTTCATCAGTTAAAATTTGTCTTTTTTCTGGTTCCAACCAGGTCAGTCCAGGAAGGTCTTTGAGAACATGGCTGAGGACTTCATGAAACCTGTCATCGATATTGTTGATCAGCTTTTGGCAGCCAAGGTCAATGTTACAGTCTATAATGGGCAGCTGGATCTCATTGTTGACACCATGGGTAAGGAACTTCTTGACTGGGGTTGGGAACAGAACTCTTGAGTGCAATGTGAAGTTACCAGTAATACTGGTACCTGGATCACTTCAGTCTCCACTGCAAATCTTCTGCCTAACTGGCAACACTTAAATACTACACTCCTAAATCAGCAGCTCTTAGAATGTTTTGCTTATATCCCTCTGAGAGAGGCAAATCCTTTGCTCCATTATACTGCCAAGAAACAGATCTGAAACATCAGTAATTGTTTGTTCCAGTGAAGCTAATAATTCACTTCACTCTTCTGGATGGACACACACGTGTGTGTTTGCTTGTTCATAAATGAAGAATGTTGGTAGTTGAGGAGGGAGGGTGCAGTTGAAGAGCACACCTGCTCTCAGAAACATGTAGGCTGCAGCACATCCTGGGCTTTGTTTGTCCCTTGCTGCTTCCAGGATGCAGCTTTGATCCAGTGACAGGTTGGGAGCCAAGCCAAGTGTTGCTGAAATGCCTTGTGCTGCAAGACTGCTGGGCTCCCTTCCACTTACCTTTCCTGATGGAGATAAGTAGTCTGTGATCACAGGCTGCACAAACACCTTCCTGTATTGTGAAAGGCTTTATGCTTTGACTGTTTCTGCCCACTTCGATATTCAGATGCCCTTCATAAACAACACAGCAATCAGGAAATCAGGAAATAGAGTATTTAGGGTGTCAAAACAGATTAGTAGTTAGTGCAGTTTATCACATTTTGAGCTAAAATTGAGCTGCAGTTAACATGTAAATTCTTCCAGTAGTTCTTGGTGTTCTGGAATTGATCTTTTTGTTGTCTTGACCTCCACCTTCTCTAGCACCACCTGAAAACAGAAAACCTTTCCAGGCTCTTCTCAATGAGTGTCTACAAACAGAGAAGCAGTGACTCAGGATTTCCAAGAGGGGGACTTGATGTGGCTGTTCCTTCTCCCTGGCAGGACATTCAAGGTCTTTGAGGAGCAAAGCAAAATATTTCTGAATTGCTATGGCTGCAGAGCCTCCAGGAGGCACGTTTGACTGGTGCAATCAGAAGTCCACTTCATATACACCTTCACTGTTTGCTTGCTTCCTTCTCCCTCCACTGCTTTGTTTCAGCTTGTCCTGAGTGCAGCCTCGGTTGTTTTCTTGGGCATAGCAAAATGGTTTGCAGAACCTGAGCACAGAGACTTTGTGCTAACTCTGCTGTATTGGTATCTAGCACAGTAGGCATCCAGCTGAACTGGCCTCCCAAGTTGCTGTGCTAGTGTTGGTAATCAGGAGATCTCTTGTCTCCACCAGGCCAGGAGTCATGGATCCGCAAACTGAAGTGGCCTAATCTGGACCAGTTCAGCCAGAAGAGGTGGAAGGCTCTGTATGTGTGTCCAGAATCTACTGAGACAGCTGCTTTCCACAAGGCCTACGAGAACTTTGCTTTCTTCTGGATTCTCAGGGCTGGGCACATGGTAAATAACAAACTTCTTGGAGTGGGATGCACCATTACTGTCAAGGAAACTGAAGATGTGTATGTGCCTGCTCTCTGCTTCCTTGCAGCAGCTGCTTATTGTGTGCTTGTCTCTGCTAGGTACCAGCTGACCAAGGAGAGATGGCACTGAAGATGCTGAGGATGGTGACCCAACAGCAGCCCTAGGAAGGGGAGGCTGGTCTGCCTTCCTGCCCAGCATTAGGGCTCTGGAGGAACCCGAGTCCAGAGCTGGAAGCCATGGAGAGAAACAGCACCTGTGTGGACACACAGCCTCTGCTTGCTGATAATGTGTATAAACACTTAGGGAAGGGCCTGTTTTATTCCACAAATGAGTGATGAGTTTGAATTTGTAAGCTGTGATTTGCTGCATCTTGTAAATGACTTTTCCACGGGGCAGTCCACTGTCGTAACCACCTAACTCTGAGCCTTTGGCTTGGAAGGATTTTGTGCTCCTGTAAAAAGATGCCTAGAGTGCTCTCTTGTCTGTTCACACATCAAGACTAAAACCAATGTGGTTCCTGGTAATTTGCTGTTTGTTCCTCTTGGTGAGCTCACCTGTTTCATGAGGCTGTGAAATGTTCCTTCCTTTGTCCTTAGGCCTCTGCTTGAGTCACCACGTTGGATTACAAGCTGAAGACATGGAGATGCCAGGCCAGAGAGCCTGTGCTAGAGGAGTCATGGTCTACCTTGTGTTGCTGTGGTGCCTGAGTGAGGATCCAGGATTCCTCAGGCTTCCTGGGCTATGGAGAGAGAAAAACACCACTGGGAGGAGGATTTGACTCTTTTCATCTGACCATTTTTTCCTTGTTTTCATTGTCTTTAATGACCATTACTCAAACTTTGCCTTTAGCCTTAACACCTAAAGCACCTCCAGCATGAATTCCTGCTTTCCTGTGTGCTGAAGCAGGAGCCCTGTTGATACCTCTTCTTGTGCCAAAGAGTCCTAACGGACAGAAGCCTCTTAAAACCTGGGTTTAGCCTGGGGAGTGGAAAGTAGCATTATTTGAGCAATAGTAGCATAATTCTCACAGACAATAGCCGTGTTTTAAAGGAGGATATACAAGCTGGAACCAGAATCTTGATCCATGTTTTCTGTATTTTTTTTTTGTAAGTCTTGCAGAGGCTTATTATTTAAAACATCTTTTATATGGTGCACAGTCAAGAAAAGGCTTGGTCAGACATCATTTGACTTCTGCTATGGAGCACAGAGTGGCTGTTGTTTATTGGTGTCTGATAGAAGGCACAGCAGCTTGTTCCAGCTGCCAGAATCCTAAATAAATAGCAACCCCTCAATTACTCCAGCAACTGAAACTGTCACAAAATGCCTGATATGGCTCAGCAAGGACTGAGGCATAATTGCATATGTGTTTACACAGCATCACCCAGCAGCTGCAGCATTGGTACCTAACAATTGCTTTCCTTTTTTGTGTTCTCTCCTTGAACTGTGTCTTGAGAACTTTTGCAATGCAAATCCAGATTTATTTTTTTTAAACACTTGTTTCAATAAATAGGTCTAATTCATCTCTCTTCAGCATCACGTTGATTTCACTGCTTGAAAATCACATCTCTTCTGTTTTGGCCTTTCAGGGTAAAGCCCCTGCCAGCTGGGACTAGATGCAATCACACTGGAGAGGGAAGGGTGCAGGTCCTTCCCACAACGAGTCAAACAGCAATTGTTTTGTTCTCTTCCTTGCTGAACATTAGATGAATGAGAGGAGGATGTTAGAAGTGTGTAAGTCTGGAATTCCTGGAATATTGTTAAATAACTTGCCAAGCAAGTCAGTGTGTTTGAGCCTGAGCACGGTGCTGGCTTGGGCTGGGCTAGAGTTCATTTTCTTCGTAGTAGCTAGTGTGGGCTCTGGCCTGGATTTGTGCTGGAGCCCCTGTGGGTAACACAGGGATGCTTTAGCTGTCATTAAGCAGTGCTCTCACAGCAGCAAGGCCCTTTCTGCTCCTTACCTCACCCCAGTGGGAGGAGTTGGGAGGGGACACAGCCAGGACAGCTGACCCAGGGGCTATCCCCGACCATGTGAAAACTGGGGGAAGAAGGAAGTGGGGGACATTCAGAGTTACGGTGTTTGTCTTCCCAAGTAACTGCTACGTGTATTCCTGCTTCCCTGGAGGCAGCTGCACTCCTGCCTGCCCAGGGGAAGTGGTGAATCAATTCCTTGTTTTGATTTGCTTGTCTGTGCAGCTTTTGCTTTACCTGTTAAACTGTACTTCAACACATGAGTTTCCTCAGTTTCACCCTTCAGGTTCTCTCCCCCATCCCACGGGTGCAGAGTGAGTGAGCAGCAGTGTGGTGCTTGTTTGCTGACACGTTAAACACCACAGGAGTTTGAGTTGGCTTGTAGTCCCCAGTCCTGTTATATACACTGGTTTGCATTATGTATAAACCAGTAATGCTATAGAGCTTGATAGAGGAAAGGAGTTGAGAAGATGGTCTCTCCAGAAAGCAGCATTTAGTGCTGCTCTTACACTTCTTTATCAAATGGGGCATTGATTCACATTGCCTAGAGCTCATCCTCAGTCACAGGCCTGAGACATCTGTTTCTTGTCCTGCTTTGGTTTAGCTTCTGCAGGTTTTTTGGCACAGATTGCTTATGAGGAAAAAGATGGTTTCAAGAAAGCTGGTGGTAACAATTTGTTGGCTTTAGGAGCTGTGCCATATCTAGATATGTTGACTTGCAATGGAGACAGGCTTGTGAGTAGTGTCCCTTGAAATGCACCCCAGAAAACAGAAGCAATCCTTTTAATATCAAGGAAGGTTCCCTTTATTTCACTGAAGGCTTTGCAACTGATGTGTCACAGCCCTAGATCACCACAAAGGCAGGTCCCCTGTCCAGCAGCTGCTGTGAGAAATCAGTTGGTTTGAAAGGAGTTCAAGTCCTGCTGTGTATCTGATTAGCAGTGACATACTTTATCCATTTAGATTTCATGCAGTTTGCCAGTTCCAGATAAGGGCAGTTGCTTGGCAAATCCATTAGAGTGAGTCGTTCTAAATATTAATAAGATCTTTTACAGATGCTGGATCAGGCAGAAGAAAACAGCCCAACCTTTGTATTTCAGCCTCTGCAGCTGCAGGCCTTGATTGCACAGGTAGCCTGGCAGTCACTGACTGACTTTGCTCACAATCAGTTGAAGGTAATTTTCATAGAAACAAATCTGTGTTAAAAATAATTCAGCACTGCTGTTTCAGCATGAACAGTTTTGCTCCTCTGTAACAGTCTACCTTTTCTAAGCCAGAGAAATAAACCTGGAAGTTTCTTTCAAAGCCACAACAAAAGAAGAATTTCTGTGTCCTGAGGCAAGATGGAAATCTTGGAGCACTTCTTCATTGTCATGTTGTGTCTATTATCCTGTAAACATTCTGATGGATTGCAGCACAATTTGTGTGTGCCACTTCTGAACTCTGGCACATATTCAAGTTTTTCCAGAAGGGATTCAGGAAAGGAGGAGTAATTTATCTTGCCTGTAAACAGTGATGCAGAAGCAGTAAGAATTTGAATAGAGCAGAGTTCACCCTTACAATGTTCTCTGCACCTGGTTTTGGCATTTGCTATTTAATAGATTTGGTAGTTAAGGAGTAGCTTTAGCTCTTGTGGAGGAAGAAATGTACCACTGGATCACTGTTTGGAGGGGATTTTTTTCTTTGTGATTGGTGATTGAGGTAGGAGATATCTGAAGGAGAAGATGTATTAGTATGAATGGCCTAATGCAGCAGTTTTCAACCTATCTCGGTTTACAAACAAAAAGTGAGAAACAGACTAGGGGAAGCTAACTCTGGAACAGTGAGCTGACAGTAACTCTCTGGCCCACTCTGCCAGGGACTGGGCAAGCACTGCAAACAATCTGCCTTGAGAGCAGTGTATCAGCTCAGACAGGAGCCTTTCCATGGAATACTTTCATGGTCCAGAGCTTTGGTTTTCTGTTTATTCTGTGGCTCCAGTGCCTCAGAGAGGGGGTTGGGCTGTCTCAGAAGGTCAAAGGCATCCAGATAACCAGTTCCAGCAAGTGTGTCACTGTGGCTCTGCTGTTCAGTACATCTAATGTACTGCACAAATCCAAAGTACACTTGTGGTAAGGCAGGGGTTAACATTTGGAACTCTCTTGTCCAAACATTCACTTGGATGTCACGTAGGCAAGTGCAACTGCAGATTCACAGGGGACTTGAACAAATATGCCCAGAGTGACTGTTCGGCAGAGAGGCAAAATCATACTTTGCTGAAGCTGTTTCAAATCCAAGAGCTTACTTCTGTTCTCCCCTAATTTTTATCCTCAGTTTCAACACCAGAATTGATAGGTAGATGCTGCACCAGTTTTCAAAAGCTGTGAATCATCTAAGTGTAACAGACAGCTGGAATAGCTCCATGTGCAGGCTATAGTCAGTAGATTTGATAATGCCTACCACAGTCATTTTTGAAGGCAATTATAAAGGCTGCTAGAACCAGCCTGCTGGTTTTCTAATTGCTTCTCTGTTCCTACAGTGTCCTTTCCAGGGTCGTTTCTCACAAGCAAGCAGGTTGCAGTGTCTTTGAAGCAGTCAGCCTGTGCTCATCCCCATTAGACCCACAGCCAACTTGGTCCATCGATGGTCACAGCAGTAATGATGCTGCACCTACATTCTCTTGAATAAATATTTTTGTTCTGTCCTGTATCTCCCACTAGTCAGCCAACTTGGACACATCTCAGTCTGGAGACACAGCAAGCACTCACTCTTTGGCATTAGCATCAGTATGGTATATCATGTTGTAATTTTATTGTTCTGTCCCATTTCTCATTGTTAAATACAGCAATACTGGCAATTACATTCCTGGAGTCAGCTCTAATGAAACTGCAGATGGAACAAGTTTATTCAGATGTTCTGTAGTTCATCTTGGATAGAACAAAATAAACAAAATTGTAGGAACTTGATGTGAAGCAGTAAGAGAGAACCTTGGACAGTCCATATACTGAGTTATGGGTGAGTCAGGCTAGAGAAAAGGCACTGGCTGGTGCATTCTCAGATTTTACAGCTGCCAAATGATTTGCTAGATTCATTTATTTTTTAAGAAACTGAGGGAGAGAAAGGAGAGGGAAAGAATGGTCCTCAGGGGTCTGGGGCTTAGGTCTGTTAATGTGGTTTACTTGTTACAGCCAGAGAGGAATGTCTGCAGGTCTCTTGT